AACATGTTAGCAAGGTCGAGGGATAGTAGCTTGGTGACATATCTCGTACAGCTTTGGGCAAAGGTGCCCATGTGTCTAGACAAGAGGGGCACTTTCACTCGCACACAACCAAGATTGTAACATTATGACTGTCGGTTTTATGAGGCCAGCAAAAGTTATATTTTATTGCAGCTCTGTATGGGTAGGCTTCATTGTCTTCGTAGACACTGAAACTGCATTCTACGAAAAGCCGATGATCTAGAGCTTTTGCTACATCATGTGTAAATTCTGTTAGCTGCGTAACACAAGACAGACTTTTCAAAACCTGTGCTGCATAGGGTTAAACAAACAATGCTCGTTAATATGTGCCACAACAGAGGTATACAAAATATGCTCTTAAAATCTTTTAAGAAATGCACGTCAGAGAAACCAATCTATAGTTTGCTACATCACTACGGGCGCTTGACTTTTAGATCAGAATGACGGCCCTAACTTTCCAGTCAACTGGAAGAAAAGACTCTTCCAGTGATTTGCCATAAATTATCTTTAAATATGGCGCCACTGATGTTTCACATAGTTGTAAGTAACGATTTGGAAGATCAGGACCACAAGCCTTTGATGCATTTAACTTTTGCAGCAACGCTTTAATGCCACTTGTGAAAAGATTGATGCTATGTATCTCGCCTATGTCATTTCAGCTCATTTCTCCGCTTTCGTTGTTTCTTATCACTAGGGTGAATACGGAGCAAAAATACTAATTAAAGCTTTAGGCCTTTGCAATGTCGTCGCTTACAGTGTTATTGCCTATGAACAATGATGAAACAGCTACTTTGTCCTTACTATTTTGCTTTATATGCTTCCATAATTTTTGGAGATTTCGCTGTAATATAAAGTGCAAAGTAGCAGAGTAAGAATCTCTTGCCATACGAATAGCGACCTTAAGCTCGGATGTAATATTCTGAAATTTCCTTTTGTTTTCGTGTGTGGGTAACATTAGAAAAATATTATAGCATCTCTGCTTCTACTGTGTTAGTCTGTAAAGTGATTTGGTAAACCACGGTTTGCTTTTGGCATGCCTTGGGGTTAATGTCCAGGATGGAACACACTGATGTTTCAGTTCCACCATGTTTCACTTAAATTATGTCCACAACTTAGCTACACTTTGAGTATCAGCTAGTGTCTCAAAAACCATCAGGTAGGAATCTAGGGCCTCATTGATCTGAGCCACATTAGCATTCTCAAAATGAAATATTCACCTATTAGGGCCAGTTACGGTTTTCACAAAGCTAACACTGAATTTGCACACCACAGCATTATGATCACTTACACCAAGCATGACAATAGTTGATGAAACAAGTTCCGGTTGGTTTGTGAGTACCAAATCTAAAATATTTTCTCCCCATGTCGGTTGTAACACAGTTTGTTCAAACACGAAATAATCTATTAAATTTTTCCTTTTTTGACTACAGCTACCTGTTGTCGTAAAAATATTAAGTGCCAGTCGAGACAAGGCAAGTTGAAGGCACGACCGATTACTAACGTATCAGCCTGCATTATTTCAAGAATTGCTGTAAGCTGTAATAATGCGTTGATGGAGGAACCTGGTGGTTGGTAAAAACTACATGCTGTTAATACTTTGCTATTTGACAGCATAAGCTTGTAGAATACTGCCTCGCAATCCCCTATATCCACATTAATTAACCAAAGCACAGATTTATTTTTCAACATTATCTACAGGGTAGGTCGAAAGCATGTTCCCTGTGCATGATTAATGTTACTTTTTGATTCCCCAAACACATGTTTGACTTGTGCGCTAAACTACCAAAAGTCATCAACAAACGTGCTATTGGTGACCGTGTTCATTGCTAAAATGACTATATTCACTGCAAAAATGCAAATAAGCCCAACATTCTACAAGCGACTTGGCGAAAAAAGAAGGTCAAGTTCGCTAATTATAAGGGGAACTGGCAACTCCGCAATCTAGGCACTGTAGTAGAACCCACAAAGATAGATGAAACCAGCAGCTTCTGAGTAGCACATTTCACCTGTCTTCTGCAGCAAGGTTCGAGATTGGGCCATTTGTTGTGGAAGATGTATTCTGCAGCTGCTACGGTAAAGACACAAATAGTTGGAACTCGCGAAGAAGTGACATGGCTATAAAAAAAGCCAAAGAAAACACATCGATATCTTCTGACCGGACATGTGGTTTACGCAATGTGTTGGAATGCTTTCCAGGTGAAAATGTGTAACCAGGAAGCCAACTGATTTCACCTGGCTTTAACTGGAATCAAATGATCAAATGATAACATTTACAGGCCAATTGGTACCTTCTACAACTTAAATGGTCTCAGTTGTTTAAATTTGCATGTGGTTATAGTTGCAGCTGGTTCCAGTTACAACTCAACAGACTCCAGTTTATTTCAGCTGCAAGTGGTTCCAGTAAGCAGCTGGTCCCAGTTAACTCTCAATTAGCCACAAACAGGAAACAGGACCAGTTGGATTAGAAAGAGCTGACCCCAGTTGGACACTACAATCAATTAAGTTCGAGGCAAGTGGTCCAAGTTAATTTGGTTTCCTGTGCCACACATAGCATAGCACAAACAATTACATTCACTATCACTCGAGCTCGGATTTGACGCCGGCTGTAAACAATGTACTACGAGTCGACCAATGTGAAACATATATTAGTGGCCACAAGACCATCACCATTGCCATCACCATCGTGACCAAAAAATGATTACCACCAAGATGACCACCGATCGACAAAATAAATGATTTCGTGCCTTTGTTAGGGGTTCTTTAGAGCAAGTTTAGATCAGTATGAACGTTCAGAGCAGACTTAGCCCCGTTCATAGCTTTTTTTGAAGCAACATTTCTTCAATGTTGCATCTTTCAAACACTCAGCTAAACTGTGCAATAGCCTCATTACTGCGATGGAAATTATATGGACACTCGGGACGAGCTTTTGCCATTGCAGTCATTCCCTTAGAAATTCCAAATTGATAACATACCCCCGTGCATTGTATGTTCTATATGCGGGTAAGAGCGAGCGGGAGCGACAAACACAGTTAAAGCAGAGATCAAACGATCTGGCCCATCTTCGCGCTTGGAGGGCGCGTGCGATAACATCCGATACCCCTGCCTTGGAGGCCTGTAGTCAAAGCAAAGAGGAAGCACTTCACCCGTCTTGGAAGAGCACGAAAAAAAAAAAATAATAATGAGGGAGTCGTCGCTCCAGCAACAACTATGAACTTTGCTACTAAGGACGCCGTCGTGATCGCTGGTGCGCACGCTAGCTCAGCAGCCATAAGCGGGCGTCTTTCAAACGCTTCTGCGTGCTGCACTTTCATCGCTAAAAGTGTTGCTCTCCTTAAGGTGGCCATATTCTCGTACACCAGCATTTTGTACAGTTACGAGAGGTCGGATCCAAAAGAGCTAGGTACCAGCCTCACTTCGTAAACCATTAAAATTTGCTGCTATCGCATTCATTGCTCCACCATCGCTGTGCAACTGACTCTTTTAGTTATGTACAGCCGCCCGTGCTTTTTTTTTACCTGAACGTGTGAGTGTCAACTGTAGAGTCGATAAGTACAACGGCCAAATGAACAAGAATATGCACTCGATGAGCAGTCATGTGCACCCTCCGTTTGTGTGCCTGTCTTTATTAGGCTGTTCCGGGAACCGGACACCACCCCCCTTTTGAGCTTTATTCTTTATTTCTTTTCCCCAAATGCTGACATCATGTTATAAATAAATCAGTTTAACCAGATTGGGCAAAGCAATGAATATGATAGAAACAAATTGTAAGGCTGGCAGTCAATTCATTTAGATCCGATATCGTGTAACTCTACAAAGCGCAGGTGTAAGAGAATACAGCCGTGTCAGGGAGAGATGCTCTTCTCGCAGTTGCTTCGCATTGAAAGCGCAGCACATGGATGATTTCGTTATTTGCGCTGATGCCCACCGTGATCCCATGCGCATAGCGATCGTGACGATGTTCTTAGAATCAAAGTTCACAACAGCTCCTGGAGCGATCACAGTCTTTACGAAACCGAAACTATAACTGTTTCTATGAAACCAAGCAGACAATGTCTCAGCCAGGTTTCTGAGCATGGCGCTTGATGGTTTTCGCACTTTGTGGCTAAATTCTGGTGCTGTGGCACAGTACAGCGCGCGGCGAGTTTAGTGCAGTAGGGGTGGTTTGGTGCAGGTAAGCAAGTTTGGTGCATGATGACGCAAACGGTTCAGCTGTTCCTCCCCCGCTTGTGTGTTGTGTGCTAAACAGCTTTTCTGGTCATCAACCATCCCAAAAGAAATGGCACACAATTATTTCATCAACATTCGATACAACCACAAATGTGCCCCCCCCCCCCAATCAGAGATATATTCTCACAAAATACCATGTGATGCTGGATGAGCAGACAAGACTCCTTGGAACTTGACTTTAGGATAAATCATAAAACTAGGCAATAAGTAATCTATGGTTGGTTAGAACTTAAGAAGGCTGCGACATCTTAAAGGCAGATGTGTACAAGCCTATCCTGATGGATGCACATTCCAAACTGACGTCACAGGCCTGACAGCCGGTGACCTTTTCACGTTGGTCTTGGTACTTTTCACGTTGGTCTTGGAACGCGGTACATTGAACAACCGCCAATGTGTCTCCAGTAAAGTCATCCCACACAGCAATAAGCATCAAAATGAAGTCAAATGACCACTAGTTGTCTACCAATGGAGCCCGTACAAATGTGCGTTACATGCCTCCAAAGTTGATGTGCACAAATGTCCACACTGCCGTAGTTGAGGGCTCCAGAAATTTAAGCCACCTGGGCTTATTAAACGTGCACCCAAACCGGAGCACACGGACCTACAGCATTTTCACATCCATCGAAAATACAGCTGCTGCAGGCGGGATTCGATTCTGCGACATCAGCAGCCGAGTACTTTAGTCACCGCGGCGAGGCAGCAGTGACACTCCGTGTGGACAGGTAAGGCTGATTTAAATACATGTCGGCCACCAGAAACAAAATAAAATAAAATCTTTATTACTCACTGTACATTGTCCGCACAGCTAGTTCTTTTGCTGATGGACATGCCAAGACAACTGACTCGACGCAGTTTCTTCACTTTCAAGCACAAATCAGGTGCGGATGATACAAAATTGTACACTATGCATTACCCTATGCTATCAGTAGAGATTAAACAGTGGCAACAATTGCAAGAATAACATATGTCACATCAAACACTAACTTTGCCAAATATGGTGGCAGTTGTGTTGTGTGCAACCTGAACAATGCAAAACACTAGTTTGCACACAGATAGCACTGTAATTCGTAGGCCTGAAAGATGTCAGCCAATCACAGCAGTACATTTAGAAGTTTCATAACTCATGTGCATAACAACTCAAAAATTTCTCTCGCATGTTCCCCATCCTTCTGCTCACTTCTTTCCTCCTCTTTCCTTCTCTTGCATGTGATATGCATCAAAAGCATTAAATGAAGAGGCTTTGATACTACCACAACGACAAATAAGCTTACAGACCATTAGAACATCTATATTCATCAGGCAACTAAGCTTGTACTCTTCACTAATGTACTTGTATTATTGCAAGACAATTCGGGCTTGTCATTAGTTAGCTAAGAAACAAGATGTTTGTTTTCTCACTATGAGCCAAAAATTCTTTGATTATTATTCACTAGGTAATGAAAAATCCATGTGCTGATGGGAGGAACAAAACAGTGAACCATTACAGAACATAATCTCACTGCTGGTAAATGCCTTTCAGTAACACAGCGGTAACAAGCCCACACAAAAACAGACTAAAAACAGCAGTGCAATGAGTGACATGTCACACAGCTGATCTCTATTCAGTGGTTATGCAAGCAAAGCCAGCTGAGTGTGAGCACTGTTAATAAACAACACACCAACTGCACAGCACCACGGTGTCAACACACTTATTAAGGGTGCAAATTTCCCAAGTATTGACTCCGTGTTTAATGATAGCAACGAAATGACAATGGTCTTATGTCAGAAAACAGAGCTGTACAAGCCATTACATGCAAGATGAATGTTGCACAACCGCTGTAAGCACAACCTTGAGAGGATCTCTCAAGGTTGTGCTTACAGTGTGTCGTGACGATGAAGAAAAATGAAAATCCGTAAACAGAGGTTGCATGCTTGTGCCAATACTTCTAAAAAAAGACTTGTCTTCTTCAAAGCTAGAAGTAGCCTTGAAGAAGGCACGTCCCTGTCGAAACATCGGCTCGAGCACAAAACCCCTGTTTACGGAATTTTTTCATCGCAATCTTGCCCTTCTGGTCATTTTTGGGTGAAGGAATACAAGCTTATCCAAGTGCCATGCACAGAAGTGAGGTTGGTCTATCGATACGATGCAGCCACAACTCAGTCACGAAAACATGCAAAAGGTGACACATATCAACTTACCTAATCAACGTCCAGTTAGGAGATAAGCTAAATGAGAGATGATGGGCAGCGATGTGCTCTGCCCAGCCAGACAACACTACCCGACTGGGCGGCATTGTGCCCAGCTGGACGACACTGTCGAAAGCACGGTTCACAGTCACATGCCAAGGCCCCCAAACACAGCCCTGGCATCATCGTGTGTGCCGCCAAACGAGGCTGCTGCCAAGCTCACTCCGGCTGGAAGACTCGAGAAGTACTCAAAGTTGATCTTTTCGCTGTACTTGGCCATCAGAAAGAGCAGCGCCACTCCCACACCGATTCCCACATTTTGGAGCAGGAACAGTTTCACCTGAGAAGAAACACCCGTCTTCACTTTTCAGTGATGGAAGTGACATTTCGCTTATTGGAGCGTATTCTGTAGCAGGAAAAATAGAGCTTTGGAGCAGAAAAAAATGCTAGTCTAGGGCAGCTATTGGCCTTTTCAGAACAGATGCACATTCGTAACAGCCTCTGAGGTCTGAAGCACCACTGAGGCATCTGATAAGTGTTCACAATTATTATTAAACATGGAGCATGCAGCTAGTAAGTAAGAAGCTGCATACAAGCACCCTACGATAATAATATATACAGCTTGTTTTTGGTTTCATTAAGGCTCGCTGAATGACCCCCACATGGTTTAAGTTCATTGTTTTCAGTTTCTCAGCACAATTTAGGAGCGGTATCGGTGTGGTCTCAAACAAATATATTAAACTTTGAAGCAGCATGGAGCAGAATTTCTCTATTGAAGCAGTTTGTAGTGATTGGAGCAGCACTTTTACATTGACTTTTGAGTTTCTGCAACGCTCACACCCTTAGCCCTTTTTTGTGAGCTCTGTGCAATTAAAAGGACATGACAAAGAAAAGTTTTTCTAATGTCAGTAAATTCCAATTTCTCAATATGAAAAGAGCTACGCTTTACGCTAGTAGAAGATGCTTGGTAAGCGAGAAAATGAGCAATAAGAAAATACGAGTCGGCGCATCTACCTAAAGTTTCCATGCACATAGTTTACTAAATACACTAGAGGAAACTCAGCCGCTGTTGTCTATGAGAGCTGCAACGCATGATGCTTAAGAGAGCCTGAGAATGATGGGTAGTACACACATTTGTCTAAGCTTCATTCTTTTGGCTTCATTTGGCTTTGCATGGCCAGGAGCCGCTTTGTAGCCAGACAAAATTCCACAAAATGCTCAGCAGTTCCACATCACAACCTTAGACTGACCAATTCCACTTGGTTTGCAAAGTTCACAATTATGTATTCTTTAATTTGAAACAAATAGCAAAACATTACAATGAACAAAAGCCACAAAAGTGTTCGAAGCCGCAAGCACGAAGATTGGGAAAATACACGAACAAACCATGAAAACCGTGGTGACTGAACAATCAAAGTGCCACGGTTCCCTCCAGTATATTTTGGGGTCATTCAAACTAAAACATCACAGCCCAAAATTCCTCTGGTGATTTTATTGAAAAAACTGAGCTGGAAAGTAACCGTATGAAAGTGATTTTTGTAAAGTATCTTCGTTCAAATAAATATGGTTGCCACGTGACCACCCTTTGAATATTTCAACTAGCAGAAAAAGTTAGGATGAGATAAATTATGTGTATTTAATAAAGGCTTGTACGAATAGTAAAGTTCAAGTTTGAAGCAATTTTGATGCGAGTAGCAATTTGGTCCAAATAATTTTGAATCAAATTCGAATGGTATATATAATATCACATATTACAAAAAAAATGAACATGCTTGTTAAAACCAAAGTAACTTGCACAATGTCTTTTTTATCAATTGGAACAAGGCTTGTTTGAATGCAGTGGTGGGCGTGCCTTCCAGCATTTTGGTGCTGCCAATAGAGCAGGCAAAATCCGCTTTTGGAGCAGCTATCTCTGTGCATGGAGCACGTACCGTGAGCTTTCCATGATACTTAAAAAGAAAATTTAGCTTTAATTTAGCTTAATGTTCCCTCAGTTTGCACAATCATTTATACCTAGGCAGATGCAGCAAGCCCATGAAATAAACAAAAGTAGAATTATGTATAAAATCAGTGGCAAATGATACTGAATGATATTCCACCAAGTTAGCTGCAGCATGACGTTCTAACAGCTCACACCCACACATAGGCGTGCGCGCATAGATGCAAGGGGAGGGGGGAGGGGCAAAACATTTGCAAGCCTCATACATTGACATGATAGAAGGAGGGCATTGTGACGTACTTTTGCCCCCCCCTCCTGAAGGAGAACCTTGCACACACTACCTCCCCCCCCCCATACACAAATTCAAAGCTTATTACAGTAAAACTTCATTAGTACGTACATACGCCCCGAAAATGCGGCTAACTGCACACTAAAAGTAGAATGCATTAATCACCAAGTACCAATTCTTCACTTGTGCCATTACTGCTAAATAAGGAATAAAAGCAGTGCCACAGCAAATATTGTCGTAGTGCCCGCCACGAAGCCATTTCTTTCTGTTTGCCAAATTTCAGAAATGATTAGCACTCTCGCACGGTGATCCGATGGCGTGTGGTGGTGACATCAAGGAGCACTTCCAAAGTATACGCAGCTGACACAGCGACTGCCATAGCGACAAAACGGACATAAGCGGCTGTCCGCGATAAATGTGTACTGCGATCTGCTACTTAGCGAAAACAGACACAGCTTTTATGAGACGCGGCACAGTTGCAGGGAGTTGATCGCCTACTGGCTAGTTGCATGCAACACTTCGCCTACTTGGCGTACACCCCGAGCCGAGCCGCTTGCTCCCACTCAGCCATAGACCACACACAGATGGGGCGAGAAAGCTATTGCATTAACGCAACGATGCGAGCTTCCTGCAAGAGGTGCTCCAGCAGTGCTGGCAGCAGACAGACGCACATTTGGGTTGTCGCCTCATGAAAGCACACAGTTAGGTTATAACGGCGCTACGCTTGCTGTCTCGATGCCCGTGATCGGCACCCCTGTGCTAGAGTGTACTAGAAGTGTTCAGTGGTGTGACCGCACCTCGCCACCTCATCCCTTCTGCGTTGCCCGTAGCGGCGGCGCTGCAGTCGAAAAGTACTGAAAGAGCTACCCACCTCGCGCAGGAACTGCTATGCACTTCGGCTCCTCCGTTGCACCTTCTTGATGCAGATTTCTTCGTACCTGCTTATCATTCACGTCTAGCACATGATGCCATAGCCCTTGAAGTGTGACACGCCAAGCTACTGAATTTGAGCTCTATAAAAGCCCTTGTGAGAGATCGAAAATAATTCATAAAGGGCGTGTCTTATACTGATTTTTTCTGCCTTAGCTCTTTTTTCGTTGGTTAAGCGTCTACACTATACAGCATAACTGAGCCGATTTATTAGAAGTTAGCTGCGAACAGAAAGCTGCGAGATTAATGAAAAGATGTTTCAAATGAACCCAGAACCAGGAGCCTGTTAGTACAGAGGGAAAAGGAAGGGAACATGAACCCCCTACACCACGATATTTTTTCGTAATTTAAGTCTTTAGGGTATACTAAAATATTTGCACGCATTCACAGCGATCACCGATTGCCAAAGTAAGTCATTCTGCTGCACCCCTCCCTCCTCCCCCTCCAAAAAAAGCCTTGCACCGAAGGTTTACAGTTGGCGAAGCTGAATATAGCGTGTCTCTGTACAAATGCGCACTGTAAGTTTCACCTTTTCGACAGTATGATGTAATAAAATTAGTTCAAGTCAAGTGTAGTTGTACGAGAAATGTACCGCCGAAAAAATAGTAGCTGTGCTAAGGAGAACTGCATGGATATTATTAATGGAGCGGTGACGTGGGACTTAAATGCGTGTACTTGTGTGTGTGTGTGTATATTGTGGGCATTTAGCATACGCATCCCCTTCACCGGTACATTATCATCATTATCATGTGTGGCTCATGCATCCTCATCGTTGTCGCGTAGCATCATCATCTTGGCTCATTCATCGTAGCTGTCGGCTGCCGGTTCCTCGGGCCTAATAAAAGGTAATCCAAACCAAGACTTCATACGTGGTGGAGCATGCTGTTAGATCCCCCGCCATCCTCTCGACCACTCTACCCCCTGGAGCTACGTTCAGGTCGCCGCTTGGGCCAAGTGTCCGGAAATATGTCGCACCAAGATGAGGCCGGTGCTGCAGCCGTTCCCACCCCACCACCGCGTGCCGCACCTTCTCACGCCATCAACAGCCTTCAGCGTGAGCCCCATCCCTTCGCTGGTATACGCGGGGAAGATGCGGAGGAATGGCTGGACGATTTCGAACGTGTCGGCGCTGCTAACCGGTGGGATAACACCTACAAACTCGCTCACGTGTCATTCTACCTCACGGCTGTTGCGAAGACGTGGTTCCTCAACCACTTCATCGACATCCCCGACTAGTCAGCTTTCAAAGATCAGCTTCGCCATGTCTTTAGCACACTGGCTGTTCGTTCGGCTCTCGCAAAGAAAGCTCTCGTGACTTGGAAACAGCACATCGGGGAGTCGTATACATCCTACATCGAGGATGTTCTTTCACTTTGCCGCCAGGTTGACACACCAATGACAGAATCAGACAAGATGCGCCAGCTTTTTAAAAGAATAGCACCCGTCGCATTCAATACCCTTGCAATCCAGAATTCGGCTATCGTTGCTGACGTTGCGACAACCTGTCAGCGCCTCGAAGAACTCGAGTCTATGCGCCTACAACCAGACAGTGATGCGGCTTGTATTACGACTAATCCAAACCTGCGAGACACGATAAGGGCGATTATACGCAAAGAATTAGAATCAATGGTATTCACACTACCTTCAGTGTGTCCCATCCAGTCTTCTTCAACGTCATTGCGGGATGTCATCAGGGAAGAGCTCACGTCCATGACCCACATGGCCAACCTGCAGCCCACTGTCTCTCGTACTCTCCCATCGTTCCCGCTCGTTTTCTGATGATCTTTCATAGTAAGGCTTCATCCGGACTACACGTGCAACCTCTGTAAGGTTGCGGCGTTTTGAGCTACAGTGTGTAGCGGATTTGGCTTGGTACGTTACATCGCTTACTTCGTAAGGCCCGAAGTATCGGCTAAGAAGTTTTTCAGAAAGTTCACGGCAACGAACTGGGGTCCATATCCATACTTTGTCACCGGGCCGATAATGCGCTTCGGTACGATGCTGATTGTACTGATAAGAATCGATGCGCTGTTGGCGGCGTATTCTGTATCTCGCCATCTGTCGTGCTTCTACGGCTCTTTGCAAGAAGTCGTCTAGGTCAGGTGGATTGCTGCTTTTTTCATTCAGTAGTAACATGGCATCCAGTGGAGTGGTCACTGTTCAACCGAATACAAGTTCGAAT